TTTTTTAACAGAATCATGCTCAATAATTATTTTTGAGTTTTATTCGTTGCTCCGCAAATAATCGTTATTTCAACAAAGACAAAGCCCTTCAACCTTAATCCATTATTTAACCAAAAGCTACTTTTGCTTTCAAGGCAAAAAATAAACCAAAAATTAAATTATATTTTCAGAAAAAAATTAAAACTCAAGAAATCCCGGCATAAAATAAATTTAAAAAAAACGATGATTTTCTGAGCAAAAAATATAACTCAGTAAAGAGTAATTTTTATAATAAAAGTTATAAAATGGTTTTTGTTAGATAACGAGCTACACTTTCATAAAAAAATAATGAAGATTAAATAAACGACAGGAAAACACCAAATAATGCTAAAATGTGATAAATCGTTGCTGGTATCGATTTCCAATTTTTTACTAACTATAATATCAATTTTTATCGATGTCATTATCCCCATCGCTTTTTTATGTTCGTGTTCATTTAAATTTTTAAGTTTTATAGTATGAAACAAAAAAATTTTTCTAATAAAAAATTATGAGAAAAAGCGTAGAATGCCGCCTGGGCTCTAATTTTTAAAGCGACGATATAAGATATAAAACAAAGAAATGCAAATGGCAAACACACCCTTAACTTATGCAAATCTAGAGAAAATAAACACTAATATTGTACGGATTTATGTATGTAGTGCATTGTACATATGGATGTGTATCGGCAGGCTAGTAAACCGCCTAAACCTGAAAAGTCAGCCGATTATTGTAAGACCTTTACAACAGCAAAACTACTTTCAATAAAATGCACCATAAGGACATACATACATGTACATATGTATGTATGTATATATGTATGTCGAAGCACCCCTTTGGCTTTTTCCTCTAAAACCAAAATTCTAATACTCGTAATGTGTAGTTGTGTGGCATAGAAACTAATATGAAATGCACTTTCAACGTTGCTCGCCTGAACGAGCGCCGCGCCGCTTAAACACTTACAGGGTGGACAAAATTGGGTGGTGGTACAGCCAACGCTGGCCAGTGCGGTTGCATTGAAAATACATACATCTATACATATGTACATACAGTGACTCAAACAAATGACGGCGTGTTGATTTTTTTTTTTAATATTCGAGCTAATTTTTTTTTTGTTATTTTTCTAAAAAATACCGTGTAAGCTTCAACCTTAACCATATAAATCACAGTTTCAAACTTAATAAAAAATTTAGGAAGATTCAACAAGTTTTCAGCAAAATTTCAACTTTTTAATCTGAATCTTGAGACCGAAAAAAAAAAAAATTTTCAAAAATCAACGCGAAATTGTATGGGCTATATAAATTGCATACCAAAAAATGTTGTAAAGATTCAGATTAAAAGGTTGAAATTTTAATAAAAATTTGTTGAGTTTTCCTAAATTTTGCGTAAAGTTTGGAACTGTGATTTATATGTTTTCGATTAAAGCTTGGACGGTATTCTTATAGAAAATAAAAATCGACACATGGTCATTTGTTTGAGTCACTGAATATTGTTTGTAATGTGACATAAAAGCAGCGGCCAACTGCCAGCCAGCCAAGCAGTTAGCGTGTCGCGAGTCGCTGTGCTGGAAAATTAAGGACCCTTGAAACGTTGCTCGACTTGCCATGCGTGCTTACATCCATGCACGCATACATATGTAGGATTAGGTGTCTATCATACATATACATACAAATATCCTTTTACAAGGATTCCAGCCGTTTTTTGTATTATTTTTTAATTTTCCATTTTCTAAACACACAGTTCTCAGCGGGGTGCTTTCGATTGACTCGCAGCCTTTATGCAAATGATTCAGTTTTGTCCTTTAGGCGTTGCCCACTGATCGAGTAATGGTGATCGTAGATCGTGCCATGTGTTCCGAAAGTTTTCAACAATGTGCACATTTGGTTTTTATGTCCTTATGTATGTACGTGGGCAACTAGCTTGGCCTCAAATGTCAGCTGTGTAGCAAGAAAAGTGACGTATGTATGTAAGCTCAAAAAAAAAAAAAATTTTAAACTTTGAGGGCATTTTTACACAATACATACATAGATATTAAAATACTGAGTGTGAGATAGTAATTTGCTAGAGTTTAAGCTTAATGACCTGATATCTTTAGGCAGTTTTGAGATTTTAATAAACTCAGATTGAGTTAAATGAAAAGTTGAGCTTATTCAATATCGATTAAAACTTTTACAATAACAACGATACTGATTTCTACAACCCTTCCGATATCGATAATACATATACATATATGTACCCAATTTGCCACATAGCGAGGACGAGTTCGAAACGACGTCGAAACGAAGTCGTTTTTTTCATACAATCCACAAAGTCGTTCCGACGTCGTTTTTTCCTCATAGAATCGAAGTAGTTACGACGTCGGTCTGATGATGTCGTTTTGGTGAATTCGAAATGACGTCAATTCGAATTCATTTATCAAATTGTTCACCAGAACGAGTCGGAAACGACGTCGTCGCAAAGTCGTTTGGCAAATTGGGAATGTACATATGCATACATGCAGATATATTTAATAATTGGCACTCACATTTTTGCAAGGTTTTAGACCGAGATTCTTCTACAGTTTCCGGTGTGCGCCTTGAAACCATTACACAATCCGCTGTCTCTGAATTGCAGTTGAATTTTCGTAACCGCTGTCTATACCTGCTATGGTCACTCGCATACGAACTGTCGATTTTGTCCTCCACTTGGAGGGTTGTCATGCCTGCAGAGGGGCGACCGTATATCGAAAATAGACTCGATAAAAACTACTTACATATGCATATTAGAGTGGTCCAAAAAGTATTTTTCCGGGCATATTTTTTTACTTCGCCTTACTGTGCATTTGAAAAAAGTTATAAACCACTTTAACAATAGTGCCTTCTGAACTCACTTCTTCAAGTATGGAATCCAGTTGATTACCAAAAGATCTTTGAAATAATAATTTTTGTTATTAACAAAGCAAAGTTTTGATAAATATCATGTGTACGTGTTTGAATTTTGTTTTTAACCGACTTGAAAAAAGGAGGAGTTTATCAATTCTCGGAATCGTTTTTTTTTTATATATAGATGTTAGCGAATAACTTCGGATCACGTGAACCGTTTTCGATAGTTCGGAAAGATGGTACGTCAAGGGTGGTCCCATACTAATTGGATCACGAAGAAACTAGGAGTATTCCTAAATTTTATATGAGCATTGATGTCGGTATTTTTTAACCGACTTCACAGAAGGAGAAGTTTATAAATTCGTCGGAATATATATTTTTTTATGTATGTTACCGCATAACTTTGGACCACGTTAACCGGTTTCAATAATTCTTTTTTTAAAGGAAAGGTGTTATCTCACAGGTGGTCCCATACTACACTACATTTGGGTTAGATCCGTTCATTGGATCTTGAATAAATTAACGATAATCGTAAATTTTTTTTATGGGAATTGAAGTCGGTTTTGTTTTTCGCTTACATTTACTTGTTTGCTTAAAAAATTACTTGTTATATATGTATGTACATATGTACATTAGGGCGGGCCAATTTCTATGTAAGATTTTTTTCGACTATGCGCGTATAGCACAGAAGGATTCTACGTGTAATTCTAAGCAAATTTTCCCAAGAAATCATGGACCAAAAATCAATTTCGAGTTTGTAAATTGCGAAATAGGTTTCTTAGCATTTTGCTGTAGTGCCGTAAAGAAGTACCTAAATTTTCTATAGAAACAAGCTATAAGGAGTTTTTTGGTATAAAGAATCCGTTTCTGCACTTATCTTTTTCTAAAAAGTTCCACTAGAGGGCGCAACAGTAAACATTTTCCCATTTTGTTCGAAACCTTTTTTTCGCAATTTGGCAAACTGCAAATTAATTTTAGACCCATAGCTTTTTCGACAAATTTGCTTACAACTACACGTAGAATACTCCTATTCTATACGCGCATAGTAAAAAAAAAATACCCGCCCTAATATACATACATACATACATATAGTATTTGACATATATTTGAGATATTTGGAAGATAGATACTAATGAGCCGGTTCTTGTACCGGTACACGTTTTGCTAAGTGATTCGAACCATTGCACCGAATTTCAAAGCGGTTTGGCGACGAAAAAATTCAACACTTTTGTAAAAACTCAAGCCTTAGATCTTGAGATGCAGTTTTTAGTACACTAAACTTTTAAGTAGCTACAATTTACTGTTGATTTTTGGCGATTTTTGTTTTGCTGGTGGTGTGGCCCAGTTTCTTGCATTAAAAAAAAACGGTCAACATACATATCTATGTACGTTAGGGTGATCCAAAAAAAATTAGGATTGTTCTATATCGAAAAAAGTATACGCCTATTTTTTATTTTAAAATAAAAAAAGTATTTAGCGGTCGCTCAAAGCGCTTAAGGTTATCCATGTATTTTATATGGGAAAAAACCACTTTTCGTAGAAATGGTGCAACAATTCTTGAAAATCAATACTTTTCGATCGGAAAACTGTGGTTCTCTTCAGGAGACTTCCAATAACAATACCGAATTGTTTATTTAACCATTTTTTAACACTAAAGATTTGTTATTTATTCCCCCTATTGTATTTTCTGGCATTTTCTGGGGCTTTTGGCGGACCTATAAAATATAGTTACTATGAAAAATGGTTAAATTAATAGTTGAGGTATTACTATTGGGAATCTCTTGAAGAGAAACAGAGTTTACCGATAAAAAATATTGATTTTCAAGAATTCTATACCACTTCTACGAAACGTTGTTTATTCCCCATATAAAATACATGGAAACCTTTGGGCGCTTTGAGCGACCTCTAAAAAATTTTTTGATTTCAAAAAAAAAAAAAAAAATAGGGGTATACTTTTTCGGTATAGAACAATCCTAGGGGGTGAGAGCATAAAATTCCCGATTTTACTTCCCCCCTCCCCCCCCACATGTATTTTTGGACCACCCGAATGTACATACAAACGAGTAGAAATAATTTTAATACATCATTTATTAATTCATTTTGCCTGATTTTCGCCTACAGCTTAGCCGCCGATCAGCTTGTCTACATTGGCTTGAGGGACATTGACCCGTACGAAGCATATATCCTGAATAAATTGGGCATACGAGCGTTTGCTATGGATGTAAGTATACTCAAATACATATGTGTGTGTAGTTTAAAAACACACATGTACATAGATGTATATGTGCACACAAATATAAATACGAATAAATTTGCGGGCTTGATTTGCACAGTGACCAATTTACATTTTTCCTCAAAAAAATAAGTAAAACGCACCCAAATTGTAGAAGGAGCTCGAGCTAGCCTCAACTCATTTACGATTAAATGGTTTTGCCTTGAATATTTTGTTGAAATTCCGATTCGACTACATCCCACTTTTGACTTAGCCCACTGTGCTATTAGCTTGCTTGACGGCTACTCGCCTGCGATCAGTTTGTGCTAAGGAGGCAAAAAGTACATATGTATTTCCGCGACTAACCGTGTGTGTGTGTGTGTATGCCTGTAATATTTATTTATGTTGTTACAAAACTTGTTTGACGTCGTTGTTACTTTCACTGCCAATGGAACAGCGGCGGCGAAGACGACGGCGACAACAGCAGGAACAGGATCAATTTACCCATAACCCACTGCAGTCATTGCAGTGATCATTGATATCCTCCTTTCGTGAGTGTGCATGTGTGTGTATGTGTGCTTGTGCGAGGTGCTCGAAACAACCCCCGTGCCAATATTGAGGCGGTTGTAATGAACGCAGGGCGTAGGGTGCAAAATACATACTAACGCATGCATACAAGTGTATACACAGATGTGTGTATATATGTACATATATACATACATACATATTTATGTATAAGCACAATTTTGTATACGCCTAGGGTGCGCGGTATCCGGCGGTGTTATGTGCAAGGACATTAATTTTTACAACGCGCGTCAAAAGGGGAATGAACTGAATTGGTGGCATGGTGCACGAAGTCGCAAAGGGACATGCGTATAGACTCTAAATCATAGAGTACATTCAGGCATTTAAGTATGTGCATATGTATGCATGTATGTATGTATTTATAAATGTACGCACTCATATGCAATTCAGTGCATTTTGCAGACCATTTGAAATGTTCCCTTTTGCCTTATTTGCCACTGTATGGTGACTGAAGGGGTGGTGCGGCGCAGCACAAATGCCTTGCACTTTCCGTAGCTGCCTTACTATATTTGTCATTTTATTTATGAGACGTGAAAATCGTTGCATTGAAAAATTTGAATGATTTTTTTTTTTTTTGTGAAAATGATATCATTTCTTTGCCTTGAGCGGTCACAATTTCATCAGTTTCCATGTAGGGTTCTTTAATGTACAGAGTCAAAACTAATCAGCACGAATCGGAATATATTTTTGTTAAAGCCTATAAGGAACAGTTTCTAGCGGAAATACTGAAAAATATTTGCGGCGGGATCTCCCTTCTTGTGGAATGGACAAAGTACACCGAGATTCCAGTCTTCAAGCATGTATTCATCAGACCAAATTCTGCTGGTACATGCGCCCTACCAACTCTTCGTCGCCGGCTTTGAACAGCTCAGCCGGTATACCACCGGCTCTGGGTCCCTTGTTGTTCTTAAGCCGCCTTATTGCTGTTCTCACCTCGTCTTGGCCGAGTAGAGGGACGTGAGCTTCGTCCATATACATTGCTTCGGGTTCTCCTTCATCAAACGCGCCAACTGTGTCGCCCTTCCAAAACCGTTGAGAAGTGTCCCTCCATATCTAAAGTGAACTCTGGAAAACAGTTACCAGATTTCCATTTTCATGTTTTTAGGAGCTAGCCCCGGTTTTAAAACCCTTTGATTTCCGCCTTATTTTCTGATAGAATTTTCGAGCCGCATTCTTGCCTGCCAGCATCTCAAGCTCTTCGCATTTACGCCTTTCTGTCTCTCTTTTCTTTCCCTTAAAAAGGCGTCCCTCTTACCTCATATGTACCCGCTTTCGCTCAATTGTCGTGCGTGTTACCCAGTGTTGCCAGAAATAAATATTCATTAAGAGCTAAAAACCCCAGAAAAAATGGCTAAATAAAAAAAATTTTGAGCTAAGAAAAGGGCTACTTTCATTATTCATCGAATAAAGATTTGTTCGTTTACTTTAGAACGAATTTCCAAAATTTTATTTATTTAGGTACATGGGCACATACATTTTCCATTCTAAACAAACATTCTGAGCTTAAAACTAGTAAAAAGAAAATATAAAAAATATATAGGTACATTACGAATTCATTAATTACACTTACACTAAAGAAGCGTTTTCGAGATTTAAAAAAGCTCCAGAAAACCGAATGAAACTAATCTTCTTTGCATACCTTTCAAAAATTATTTATTTTTATTCACTCCTTTCAGTTGATCATCTTTGTAAAAAAAATGTTAAGTTAGGCCGAAGGACAATTTTATAAAGAAAATGTGAAGCATAAGAGCGCCCAAATCGTACAGAAAATGTTAAACTTTTGACAAATTTAATAAAAGCGGCCAATTTCAATTTTTGCTATAATCACTCTTTCAGTTGAAAATGTGAAATGAATTTAAAAATTTAATTTTTAAAATTAAGTTAAGAATTTTCCAAAGGGCTGTTTCAAATTTAAAAGGGCTAAAAAAAGAGCTAGGGACTAAAAGCAAACTTCCGGGGCAATTTAAAATAAAGAGATAGAAAAAAAAGATAAACATATTTAAAAAAAAAAGATGAAAAGATAGAACGCACGCCAAGACCGCTCGAAGGGTAAACCCAAGTGGCTTTGTGGATGTTTCAATGCTGGTATCTGGTACTACTAACTACGATGTTCCGTGCCGCGCTGAAGTCGATCAGCCTATCACCGTTGTCGGGAGTGTTGTGGCGGGGGTAGCGCTCCTACGCTTCTCCTACGCGCTCGTAGAAAAGCCCCTTAGTCCAGCGTCAAATTAGCCTGAAGTTGTTAAATTTTGCCTTTATGCAGATTGTGGAAGTTCGCTAACTGATGGGGGTGAACCTGTATACAAGGCATCGGAGTCTCCGCCCAACCACAAATCCCATACCGAATTTGTGCGCCGTCTCATGCCAGGTGTAGTAGAAATCGCATGCTGCATTTTTTTTTGCAGCCATGCCCCGTGCAACGCATTTCCTGAACTGCGGTCATGCCCACCTGGTATTTTGTTTTGAAATCTAGCAGGTGGATATAGACACCTTCCCTATAGAGGGTTCAGTCATTCCGCAAATCGTGGTCCTTGTTTAATGTACGAGGGTCGTCCACATTGGGGGGGCCAATATTCCGAGGATTCTTTTGTCTTTTCATTGGAGCCCGGCGCATTGCTGGCAGGCGTGGTTTCTCAACCGAATGCACGTTTATGTAGCGCCCCGCTTGCTCCAAGACAGACGCCCGCTTCCAACCGCACCTCATGGCGAATAGACGTTGCAGACTCCAGTGAGCCCTTAAACCGAATAAGTCGGAGTGGCCCCACCGAAGCTCGCTCTCTTTTTATGCCGTGACTCAAGGCTCCACTCGGATTGGTTACCGTATCTCGCACATGGGTGTGCGCGAACGAGAACGCGGGAGTCGGAATTTAGTATAGCCGTCCAACTGTAACTGCATAACTAGGACAACGGCTATACCCCATTGCACTCCATCGATCCGAGCACATTATAGTCAAAATTCCTAAAGTCAGATGCCGTAAGCGGCAGCGTCGAATCGCCTTAGTGGAAATGGTATTCAACTAAATGGGTTTTTATCGGATATTACTTAGCTACACTGCTTAAAAATAGCTGTGGTTCATTTGGGTTTTTACTTTTTTTTTTAATTTTGACCTATCATTTAATTTTCAGCTCCACTTATAGTTCTTGATTTTTTTATTCCGTTTCAGTCTGTGGATAAGTATGGCATTTCGAAAATTATCGAGCGTACACTAGATTCGCTGAAACCGCAAAATAAGATTCATGTTAGCTTCGATGTTGATGCATTGGATAAGTCGGTGGCGCCCAGTACCGGAACTGCAGTTTGTGCTGGACTGACGCTACGTGAGGGCATTTCGGTTGTGGAGGCATTACGGGACACAAATCGAGTACAGGGCATTGATTTGGTGGAATTGAATCCTAGCTTGGGCAGCGAACATGATGTACAGACGACCATCGCATCGAGTTTGGAGATTTTGAAAAGCATTTGCGGTTACAAACGCAGCGGAAGTTTTGTCAATATAAAGACGGATTTATTTGAAACGTTGAAAAATTAATACATAATGTACATAGACTGCCGGTCAAAACGGGATGAATGATTTTTTTTAAATATCTATAGGGGTTTTTAACCTAATTTTGTTTTTTATTTTATTTTTTATAACAATAGTGTTCATGCATTAACCAAAACTATATATTGGGGCCCCCATTGATTTTTTTTTTTGAAATTTCAAGACTCTACCCCCTAATTTCCCTCCTTTTTATGAGAAACATTATTGCCTATTTTTATAAATATTTTCAAAGTCATTTAGAGGTCGCGACTTGTCATTTTAGGCCAGAAAATATGATTTTTTAAATTTATCAGTTTTTGAATGACTATTTTTCACTAAATTTTAAAGATCAAACATGTTATTATTAAAACGATTAAAAAGTTCAAAATTTTGATGAAAATTTGTTGAATTGTTCTAAATTCTGAAAAAAAGTTTGATATTTTTAGTTTTGGTTAATGAAAGAAAAATATTGTTTAAAAAAAATAACAAAAAAAAAAACATAGCTTGAAAAACATTGCAAATATAAAAGGAAAAACGCCATTCATCCAGTTTGACCGCCTGTGTGTAAATATAGAGACTACCCTGCAGAAAATGTATCTAAATATTTATAAGTTAACTTGAAGTTGATTAGGAGGGTACTAAATATAACTATTATGTGTATATTTTCTTTGAGGAAAGCTAATTATATAGTCAGGGTCAAATGTAAGTGTGCACCTTGTTCTAATATAATACTCAGAATTATTTTCATGAAAATTTGTTTCATAAATTATTTATGAAAATATAGTTCATTCTATAAAATAAACAATCACACACAAACAAAGGATCACACTTTATATACGGTTCACGAAAATTCACACAATTTTCATCAAAATTTCAAAATTTGTATTTAGAATTTCCAGAAAATTTTCGAGTTTGCAGTTTGTAGATCATTTAATTTTAGCAAAACAAACTGCAAGTTTCCAGTTGCTAAACACCCTTGATTTTTTAGAATTTTTTTGTGGAGGGTGTTGCGCATTTTTTCATATAAAAATGATTTTGATCACGTGTAAAATTGAACGGGCTACAAAACTGCATACTCGAAAATTTTCTAGATTTTCTGAATGAAAATTTTGAACTATATTTTCATAAATAATTATAAAAAAAAAAAACTGTTATTAAAATAATTATGAATCTTCAGCCTCATTGCGAGAGCCGTGTCGAATGCATGTCGTTTTTCGAGAGTCGAATCGTATCGACAATTTCACGTCATTGCTTAAAATTTCCAATCGATAAGTATATTAAAACGGAAAAACTTGGCAGCACTGCACAGTTTTCGACGATTTTCGTAGTTTATTTATTTCAGCACGACAGTAGACAATGCCAATGTTGTCGCGTTATACAATTTAGCCCAATTACAATGAGGCTGATTATATTAGAACACGGTGTATACTTACATTTGAAACTGACTGTATATGTATGGCGATGGCCGCGAAATATTCAAGGGTTACATCTCTATTTGGTGTCAACTAACTTACTTTTGGACATGAAATATCAATATGAAAACAATTTTTTTTTTTTAATCTTTTTACTTGTTTATTTTAACATTAAATATTCGAACTCCGTCAGATATACATAACTTCAAATTGATAAAATTTCGATCTTAATTTTATTTGCCCTGAATTCGAAAAAGTATTTGCGAAGTTCAGAAAAAAGTGTATTCAAGTAAAATTTGTATGAGGATATTTAAATAGAAACTTTTTTAAAAAGAAAGTAAACACCCGATTACGTCAGCACGACTCCTGCATTACTTTCCAACTAGCTTAGTTAGCCTTGCATAGTTAACTAAAAGTTATATATTTAAGCGAAATCCCGAAACAAGTTGTTGTTTTTTATCAACTAATAATTTTTTTTTCTGCATGGTATTGATGTATAGTATATTTCCATACATACGTACGCACATACAGTCATGTGACAAATAATAGGGACACAACATTTCTAAAAACTCTTAATGAAAAATTTGCGGTTGTTGTAAAACTTTGTTGTATTCTTCAAATTTTTTTTACAAAGTTTGAAATTTGGACTTATATGGTTTATGTTAGAGCTGTATTTGTATAAAAATAATAATAAATATTAAACAAATAAAAGAAAAATAATAGTCAAAACCGGTCAAAATATCGTGTCCCTATTATTTTTCACACGCTTGTACATCTGTGCCTACATACATTTTAATGTATTGTATATGCATTTAGGTACTATAAAGAAATATATATTTTATTATTTTGATTAAACTGTGGAATGTTTATTAGTTAAGAACTAAATAAATAATTTTCAGATTAAAAGCAGTAATGTACACATGAAATACTCGTAAGTATATTTTACTAATAAACGAGATTAATTAATTCTTTACAATTATTAACTTTTGTTTTAAAAAGCGCTAATAAACCTCACGCTTTCAGCATACATAATTAATATAAATGCAGGCAAACGGCGATCAGTAGAGATTCAAGCAGTTGGTTAATCCATTATTGGCGTTATCATCGACTGTATTAAAAAAATTAATGTGCGAATGCACTACTTCGCTTGCGGCGGTTCATCCACAGCTATGGGCACGTAGGTCGTAGCGTCGCTGGTCGTGGGTGCAATGCTTGCACTCAGTAGGCTTACACTGTTCGACATGCTGTTCGCCATATTGATGAGATTATTCGGGCTTGCGGGCTGCGCACTTAGTAAGCTCACATTTGCGGCAATAGGAATCTCGGAGCCTGTGTCCCCATGGAACGATGCACGCTTTTGCTTTGAGTGCTGTAAAAGTTGCGGCGCTAATGTGTTAATGGTTGCACGCTGCAGTGACACCAGCAAAGAGTTTAAAATGCCTGTAAACCATGAGTTGAAATATTAAAGAACTTTTATCATACTTTGATATCGAACTGTATTACCTGAAATAACGATAATACCAGCAATTATTGAGCACAAACGAACTATGAATTGCAGGAGATTATCGCGATCGGTGCGCACGATGATCTTCAAAGCCGACCAATCGTACTTGAAGTAAATGCCAGGAGAGCCATATGAGTTCTTGATTGAATCTAAAAGATAGTTTAAAAATGCTTAATGTGTTCATTGCTTAAATAGGCGACAGATCAGAGGGGTACCTAGTTGACGCACATTCTCCGTTACCGAATACTGGTACGTATTGATGGTCGTGAAAGTGTTGTGAATTTCGGTTGGTACGATTTTTAAGAAATACTGAACTGTCGTCTCTTCATCTACTACCACAGTTTCATCTCCCTCCAATGGCTGTACTATCCGGCGCGAATATTGTCCGAAACTCAGGCGATTGATGCGATGAGTGAAATTGGCTGATGTTCGCCGAAAATCGATCGTCCAGTGATCTTCAAAGAGACCCACAAACGGTTGCGCTCCGCCAACTAAGTGCAGGACACCAGCGACCTTAAATTTTTGTGCACATACAATTTAACAGAAAAAACGAATTGGTATGACAGTAAATATGCAAATGTTTGTATGACTATCTATCGAATAAACAGAAGCCTACAAATCAACATTAACTTTCTCATAGGCTCATGAAACCGTTTAAAACCCAGTCACCGAGCCAATTTCGCCTATAAATGAGCGGTGCTACTTGTAACCGAATGCATCTGTAAATCGCTCTATCGTCATAATTTTCGTGTATGCAGTTTTGTAGCCCATTAAATTTTAGTCTAATAAGGTGCAAGTTTGAAGTAGCTAGTTTTTGCAGTTGATTTTTTAGATTTTTTTTTTTGATCATGTGTTATATGCAAGAAAATGCGCGACACCCTCCACAAAAACAATTCTAAAAAAGTAACGGTAATTCTTAACGACATGAGACTTGCACTTTCTTAGACTACAATTAAATGGACTACAGAACTGCATACCCAAAAATTATCTAAATATTCTAATTAAAAATTTTGATGTAAATTTTTTGAAGTTAGGTTAATTTTTTGGAAATTCTTGCAAGCTTTGAAACTTTTTTATTGTGGTTTCTGTTATAGATTGAATTATATTTTAAATGAAAATTATTAAAAATAAATATTTAAACATAATTTGCAAACAATATCATTTAATAATAATTATTTAGTTGCTAATTAGTTCAAGGAGCTTACCTGAACAACTAATTGAACTAAACGACAACTATAGACTAGCCGAATTTGAAATGACTAAAAGAAGCACTTCCAAAAGAATGTCAATTAAGGCTTGTTGCAGCTATGATACCGATTACCTACAAAAACCACATTACCATTGGCAACGTTCCCACGCCAGTCGGGTCTTCGTAACCGGAACAACGCATTCGAGATCTTTGGGAAATATGTATGCTGTTACAACAACAACATAAATTACCATTGACAAAAAATCTTGGGGGAATTTGTATGCAACAACATTTGACATTGTTTCCCAAGGGAATTTACATGATTTATCTTTCACAGGCGATTAGTTGACCAACTTCATTGAAAGCGTTTAGTTGAAAGGCCATTTGCATCAGGCAACTGCTGCATTCAGCTAAAAGTTGCCTGTAAAATCGCCCCATGTGAAACCCACAATTATACATATGTATTTAAAAATTAAAATTACAATCACAAAGTTAAACTTAAATTTTTATACAATAATATTTATTTATATAAAAATAATTTATTATTTACATACTGAAAATTACGATTTAAAACCGAATTTGAATTCGTTACATAAAGTATACATAATAATAATAATAATAATCATAATGAAAATAAATGTGTGCATGCTTTATAATTTCGGATTTTCAAACATTGGTCCTCGTGATATCTCTATATCTGAATATGGCTGAGTCTGTTGAATGTTGAGTGCTCGAAACTTTTTTAGCACAAGTAGCGAATAAAATTTCTGAGCCGCCTGCTTCCTGGTATTGTTTACAGTTAATGCTGACAATATTAGGCAATCCTGCTTGAGTAAACGCGACTTGACCGTGTAGAATAATTGGGCAGCTCTCTTATTGAGTACACGCTCTTCAAATTGTTCATCGGTTTCATTCTCCAATTGCTCTTCAGCTGGGTGTGGCGGTGGTGGTGGTAAGTCGTAATCATTCCAATCAGTTGATATATCACTGGTGCGTTGTGTTTTGTTTGGTTGCGCTTCTTGTTGTATAATTGGCATGTTTTCAGCTTCTTGCAATATAGACGACACTTGATCCGGCGGTAGATTGGGTAGGTTCTCTATGTTTTCAATACCGGAATGATGAGGAGTTTGATATCCATGATGTAGTCCTGCCGGTGTCGCATCACCATGATTGAAGTCATCGGATGCATCAATGCCCTGATGAATATTACCCGGCGTCAGAGGTAAATCATGGAGTGCCGTTAAATTGTCTAGACCATTTATATCAGTCATACTCAACATACGACTGGGACTGCGCATATTATCAAACAATAAGTTCTCTGCGGGCGGTAATAAATTGTCGGTCAAAGAGAACTGAGCTTGAGCGGCACTCTGTTCGTGTTCGCGTACAGGTTCGGGTGCTGCAAGACTCTGTGCTGTAACGTCCACCATATTCTGTTGTACGGCTGGTATTTCATGTTTTCGTTTGCGCCCACGTTTGCTATTAATTATATTTGCATCATTCTCATTTTGTATATGCTCTATAGCCAATAAATCTGATGGTCCAAGTATGGAGAAATCTTCCAGTGCCGAATTGCGTGATTGTAAATGACGATGATAGTTCGTAAATAGCGCGCGTGCTGGTATAGTTCGAGACGGTAGAGAAAATAGTTTTTCCACACCACCAGTTTCTTTCCAATAAGTCAATCTCTTTGTTGGTGGAGCCAAATCTAATGTCGTCACAATATCGGAAGTGTTTGCAAGTTGCGCCTTCATTTCCTCGCCGGATATGTTTTTAACTTCGTCTACAATAAGTTTACGTTTGCGTTTAGCTTTCGTCACACCTTTGTAAGCAGAAGCATCTACAGGAGCCAGAGCGAAGCTCTCGTCTTCATTTTGCAGCAAAGTTGATTGATCTAAAGGATTTTCATCTTCTTTCGCATTGTCTATAGCCTCATTGGCTTCTTCTTCTTTACGAGTTTCTTTCTCAATTTCATGTACCTCAGAAACATGTTCACAACTTGATGCCACTGATGGCGGTCTAATATCCATATGATCCATACCATCGTCATCTGACTCTTGCGCGGCACCTATAGCAGCTTTCAGGTTATTATCGCTGGTGTCTAATGGAGGCTCTGCAAATAGATCGTCTTCAAAAAGTTCAGGTTGTCCAAATTCATCTCCAAAACCATCCCCGTCCAAACGGGAATTGGCCAAGTCTGAGTCGTTCAAAGTTATCTTAGGTTCATCTACTAGAGTAACGTCTGCCATGCCGCCATCTCCGAAAAGCTGGTCGTCTATATTTGCATCAATCGGACCACGAATCAAATCAGGAGTATCACCTTCAAAGCCCATATCGCCAAAGCCGTCGTCGTGGATGGAAAGCGACAAACTTCCGCCATAGTCTTCGCGCATAGTGATCTCATCAGCTCGGGATTGATTTATAGCAAATTGTGCCTCAATATCAATGTCATTCAACTCGGGCAACGCTGTATCGAAGTCATGAAATACTTCTGGTAGAGTAATTGCGTTAACATTCGCTTCTCTGTGACCTTCGGGTAGATCAACCATTCCCGGCCTAAAGGCCATTTTAATCTTAACAAACGCTTCATTACAATCCGCTAACAAATATTTGGCTTTTCTTGAATAAATTCTAACGACGCCCAATAGTAAATGTCCCGATGTGCGAAGCGCCAATTTTACCTTTGGTTGCATTATGCCCTCCACGGACTTCTCAATATTCGTCTCAAACACATGCGCCTTTGTTATTTTCTTATCCCAATGTGCAGCCAACCACACTCTTGCTAGTGGGCCTTTCTTGGCCAAAATTAAATGTGCATAAAACATATTTTATATTGTAAAATTCTAACAGCTACGACACAATTAACCAAACATTTCTTTGCAGCTTTCCTTTTGATTGGATTTTGGAGTAGCCATATGATATAAAATTATAATAATTTTTTGTTGTGATGTGTATAAGTTGTTGCCACTTAATTATTGAGCCACGAAACGAAGATTTCTACGATATCGCGTAAATTGGATTTGAATAGTCGAATACGCTACTAATTTTTTAAAACAGAAACTTATAACTATAGTTAACTTCCAAATAAATGGAAATTTTTCACGATCTACTCCATCTTTTAAAGCTTAAACAGACGGCAGCGTTGATCCGGATTAATTCGGACTTAATCCGGATCAACTGCAGTTAATTCCCGTGTTGAACCGGATCAACGCTGCCGTCTGTTTAAGCTTTTACGTGACTGCCAGTTTTTTGTGGATAACGGGTGATTTCTCTATGAAAATAAATAGGCGGTAGTGACTATTTTTGTGACTTGAGAAGATTTGGGTATTCAGTAGGAGCCACATAAAGTTCACAAAAAACGTGTGGAGAAAACCACACGCCGCGCCGCTCCAACAGTGGCAATGGCCGAGTGGTTAAAGCACTAGGGCGCAGAGGTTTTTTTCATTATTTTTAATTTACTTTTTTTGGTTAGGTTTATTCACTTTACATAATCTTAAGATTTTAACGTTTCAAAAACAAAAAGCAAAAAAAAAACAATTCAATGAAGTTGTACGATATTAAAGCATTTTGGTTTATTTCCCAACTCCACGTCTCCTCCTTCTACAGACTCTGTTAAAAAAGCTGTGTTAAGACAGAAATGTCAGGTGGAGACTGCAAATTTCACCAATAAACTATATATGTCTTGCCGAATTTGTTACCATCGCTGTCTTAATCTGATCGGTTTGATGTCATTTTGAAAGTGATATTTTAAGACGGCAAGTTGCTCACATGAGAAAACTGGACAAAGCTAAAACAGAAATTTGACAGATGTCGACCATGAACCAAAAATACAAGATCACGCCTTCTTCTTAGTAGCCCGTTATAATCGCATTTAGGAAAAAAGTTGAGCGACTTTGACATTAGCCGTTTGTTTACATTTCTTCGTTGTTTACAATTTGGTGGTGGATTTTTACTGCAATTTTCTTTATTTTCGCCTGTGACAACGTGTGTACACATAAGATAAAGAATAATTTAACACAACGGCATGATTTATAGAAGAACTTGCATAATAAAAATGATTATTCATACGTTCAACAATTTCGCGGGATTCTCCGTTCTCTTCGTTGTTTACTTCTTACAACAAAGATGGCGTCGAGATTTCGATAGCTAGAAAATAACTTTTCTTTATTTCGGGAAGACGTGATCTTGTGTCTTTCGTTCATGGATGTTGACACATTTAGTAGAAGGTGGAGACGTGAGGTAATGAAATTGTTGTTGAACATACATATATTAAGACTTTTGTATTGCAATTGATAGTTCGTCGATTGTTCTTTACTGTTCGTCCATTTTTAACGTTTGCTCGTTAGCCTCACTGTAATAATTAATTTTTCAATTTCCACTTTACGTAATTCCTCTATCTACCACCTGCAACACATTACTTTGGGTTAATTATTATTGCAATCGATATTTCGTCGATTGTTCTTAATTGTTCGCCCATTTTTGACGTTTGTTCCTCAGCCAATCATTTATAATTGATTTTATACATTTCACAATTCTTGCATTTATCACCTCAAATGAAGATTTTTGTATTGCAATCGATAGTTCGTCGATTGTTCTTTACTGTTCGTCCATTTTTAACGTTTGTTCGTTAGCCACACAGTAATAATTAATTTTTCAATTTTACCTTTACGTTAAGCATTACGTTGTTAGTTTAGCATAATGTTTAACGTAAAGTAAGAATTGAAAAATTAATTATTACTGTATGGCTAACGAATAAACATTAAAAATGGACGAACAGTAAAGTACAATCGACGAACTATCGAATGCAATACAAAAATCTTTATATTCATACTAATCCCATTTATGAGATCCCGTACGAGTCCGGACTAGTCAGAAATCGTCAGAATCAGTCAGATTTTACTAGAAATCGATCACGTACTCGGTTCTATGACTATTGAGAGGACAAAAAAGAGAGTAAATACGGTTCTCTCTGTCAGAAGTTACCAGTTTTAGTCCGAGAATTTTTTGCTGGTATATTCTGGTAAATACGTCAAACTATCAGCTGTAGTGTGTTTGGCAACCAAATTGTAAACAAAAGAAAAGTGCACTCTGCTAATTCATGTTGAAATGTATTTAATTACTTGTTTAAGTGGATTCTAATGAATTTGAAAGTATTTTTGGTTATTTACATGTGTGAGCTGAAAATAAGCAAAAATTTCCCACTAGAACTTGAATGGAGATCTCCCTAAGTGAGGAATAAAAGAGTACTCCCCTTGACCTGATTTCGGATCAATAAGAGAGATTTGTGGACTTTTTACTCCCTTATTACTCGTTTAGGAGTCAATAGGGACATCTCCTAAGCTAGCAATTAAAGAATGCTCCCTGAGGCATGATTTGGGAGCAATAAGCGAGATTAGTCGGTTTTGCACTCCTGTATTACTCACTTAGGAGTATAATGGGAGATCTCCCAAGTGAGCAATAAAAGTATCCTCCGAGATACATGATTTCGGAGGTATAAGCGAGATTTGTTGGTTTTGTACTCCGTTATTACTCGCTTAGGAGCAAAAATCGATGTTTCCTAAGCGAGCAATCCAGGAGTATTCTTTTTAATTGATAGGAGAGCTATACGCACCTTCTTCAACATAATTTTGTGTTTTTGGAAAATGTATGAAGAAAGCAAAACAGATAACTGATGTGTACATTCATACTTATATACATATGTGTTTCTAATTGAAAAACTTAAATCAGGAAACAATGAAATTAATTGGAGAGCAAATCTTTAGAGCCGCTGGTATGTATGATAGCATTTGTTTAAACTTATAAATGATTGTATTATTTAACTCAAAATATATTTCAGATTACGGGGCCAGCAATTAAGGCGTCTACGTTCTAGCGGGAAGCCGGAAGTTTTTCAAGGCGTGAATAGTTTGGGCCACTCCCGGGTGAATACAAGTTAAATAACTTTTCCAGGAAATCATCCTCGCCACACTTATCTTGTGGATTGTATAAAAGTATATATGTATGTATGTATAATGTTTGAGTTTGTCATTACTGTTCGATATCCGTTTTCTAATTTTAGTTAATATTGTAATAATAATTATTTATGTTTTTTCTGTTTTTGTAATAATCAGCTTAAATCTTGTATTTATGTGCATAAGTATGTATATATGTATATGATTAAAAAATTAAATAAATGAATTGCGTAAAAAGCAAAATCTTTTTAGCTTATGTAAAATGCTCGTTATGGAGCAATGTGGGAGTAGTCTTCCATTACTCCATGAGGAGGAATTCGGGAGTATAGAGACGTTCTTTTATTACTCGTACAGGAGCCTTCCGGGATGACTCTTATGGGAGTACTCCCTTACTACTCGTTAGGGAGGAATGTGGGATGTTTTCTATGTGCACTCCCTTGTTGTCTTTTTGGGAGGTTTCTGGGAGGTAACTAAGGGAGTACTCCCGTATTGCTCCATTAGGAGGTTTGTGGGATGATAATTCTGTGTGTGCTCCCCGATTGCTTGTTTAGGAGGTAAAAGGGATTACTCCCCCTCCTAGGACATCCAATGTTAAAGGGAGTATACAAAATTACATGCTTATACACAGAAGCATAGGGAGCAATGGGGAGTATTCGTATACTCCCAAGGGAGTACTCACCGAGCAATCGTACGATGCTCCCAAGTTCTACTGGGTTACAACGAAAATTTGGAGGTTATGTTGAAGTTGACAGAAGTTACCATTTTTTTACTAGAAAGCGATCCCCCACTTTTCAACGTTACTCTCTGGCTCTGAACGAATTTTTATTTTTTGACAGTTTTACTAGTCCGAGTCCGAGGAATACGTGATTGCACCTAAAACTCACGATTCCAACATTTCACCTGCCCGAAAAAGTGGCATCACTCTGCGTTGCCAACTGATTTAAATCTACATTCAGCAAGAGGTGTGCTTATCCGCCGCCTTCACCTGCATGCAATACGCCAGCGTTCTACTTTTTTTCGCAAGCAATACGAGCTTTGTTTGAAAGCATAACTTTTGATTTCTAAAATATAAAATCATTAATAGTCAAGAACACTTTCTAAATTAATTTTCTTTTTGAGAAAATGGCTCTCGCAACAACAAAAATTACACTTCCAACTCGCTTACCGCGTAGTAATTGCCCACATACAGCAAACAGTATGGGTCTTCAAACCAAAGCTTGGTACTCGGTAACTCGATGTTCGGTAATCTTTTCCCATGTATTTTGCTTGTGTAACACTATTTTACACAAACAAAATCCATTAGAAAAAATTACCGGACATCGAGTTACCGAATACTGAGCTAGGTGTGAAGACCCATAGTATGTCTGCGCATCGCGAGTACGATAAGTGTACAATTTCAGCACCTAAAAATATCAGAACTTCGCAATTTGACTAAAAGGATGCAATTTAAATGTTCTGATTTTAATAGAAATTTTCAAACTGCATATCGATACCTGATTGATCGACCTATCTCAGAAAACTTTTCAAGAACGTCCTACTTCGGAATTTGATTGAAGAATGCCTTATTTCAGAATTTGATTGAAAAACGCCCTGTCTCAGATGCCGATTAAAAAACGCCCTATCTCATCACATTTTAGATTTATTTTCAGCTGAGATAAATCGGTTTTTAACGAAATTATGAGACAGTGTTTCTCAATCAAATTCTGAAAGAGGTCGTTCTTCAATCAAATTTTGAAGTAGGACGTTCTTGATAGGGAGTTTCTCAATCAAATTCTGAAAGAGGTCGTTCTTCAATCAAATTTTGAAGTAGGACGTTCTTGAAAAGTTCTTAGATAGGGCGTTTTCGAACTGTCTGGATCTTCGAGACTGGGTACTGGGTAATTCGGTGTTCGATACTAGGGTTACGATACTATTGATACCCATATGGGTATTTTCTTTCGATACCGCTTAGTGTATCATAATAAGGTCAATATCAATGTCAACTTCATAGATGCCATATTGATCCTAGAATTATATTTAACTATATCTCCTGATTAGTGACTTTATTATTTTTCACGTGATATTTTATTTGCTATGCCCATTTAATACTGGTATCGATACTTTTATAGGATCGTGATATATTCAAACCGTATAAAGACAGTATACAGCGTACCGACATTGATTTGTTTTTATTTCTGTTTTTGTTTTTACGCCGTATAGTAAAGTATGGAATCCCATTACCAAGATTGATAAAATCTCGGTTAAGCTCAACGTTCGAAAAATCTGAAATTTTCGGGCATACAACAAATTTAAAGACACATTTACCTACTGAAGACACTTTATATATAATCATTCCATTAAGTGCATTTCCTGATTCATAATTTTCGCGCTTACCTCTTTTCGTATTCTTATGAAAACTCTAACTTTTGGCTTAGCATAGATGGTGAAAATTAATAAGTCCAAAAAAAGGGCTAAACTAAGTTAAGTCGAGTTGGAGAAACCAGACCTTAGAATTGAAATTCGACTAGAACTAAAAACTATGTCATTCTAATGAAAATATTATGCTCCAATTGACAGAGCAAGCACCAATGTTCCATGGCTAATGTGCACTTTAGGAATGTTCAGGCCAAAGGATATTTTCATATCAATTACAATTCCAACAGTTTTGACAAAAATGTGCATTGATTGCTGCCTAACTAAACACACTACTTACCTTATTAATGCCCAAGGTTCCATGCAGCCGGCAAGCATCGTAACGCTCTTCAGGCAGTGATTTGGCACTTTCCAAAGGCTTCACATTCACTTCATTGTTTTTAATGATATCTTTAAAAAGTATATCCGCAACTGAATGATATTCCTCTCGTAAAAAGGTATTCATATGTTGCATACGTTCGAATTGTAGTCGTTCTTCTTCTGGCAAAGCCCACCAGGTACCTTCACGTTGCAATGTACCGTATGCAAAAACATCCTGTTGTGTTTCATCCATGAGATCGACGCCCGAAAGAGCTGCGGAGAACCACGATTAAAAATTTAATATTATGTACGAAATCTGATTGTACAAAACTTACATGAACATGGCATGGCCACTGTGATATCGACGTGCATTTGTACCTTATCGTCCATGTCAATGTCCGGCTCAAATTGATATATGAGATTTGCTTCCCTGTAATAGCATACTTCCTTGTATATGAGGTAAATAATGAGCAGGCGACTGAGCAAGGATACTGTGCAAGGGATCAAATAGGATACATTGAACTCAGTACGGACCAAGATTCGAATATTTACTTACATGTACCACCGATTTCCGTTGCCTCTGTATATTTCTCAGGCACCTTTTTGAATGCGTCTAAATTTTTTGCTATCTCAATAAGGTTGTTTTTTTCGCCTCGATAACGTAATGTGGCCGTCATTCTCAAGTTTTTTATAATAAAAATCTGCTATTCAAAAATAACAAAATCGCAGTCAAGTTGAGTAAACAGCTGAGGCATAAAAACAAACAATAGTTGGTAGCGCCATTGACGCCAGTGCTGCCGGTATTTCAATCTTTGAATATTATAATATTATGATGAGCATTTTAATTCTTAAAATTAAGCCCGTATACATGTTGGGTTTTATTGTTATTATAAAAATTGTCATTCTTTATAATTTTAAAACTCAAATAATGTAAAATAATATTATACTGACGTATTTGAATATTTTTCCTGCAGTGAGACAAATGGTTGGCAATACCGTGTGATGTTGGCGGCACTGTTCAGCGCAAACGAAGCCATTTTGATATACCAAACGGCATTTTCGCAGGCGGCTTTTCTCGCATCTGCAGAAATCAATTTTTCGTTGTGCGCCGAGTAGTGAACATTAAAATTTTCTTCCGCGCGAAGTTTTCGGAGTTATGGCTGCAAATTGGATAAAAATTACAGACAGGTAAGTGGTTAAATATGAAATAATTTAAGTTTTATAGGTAGTTAAATTCGCCCATCGTTCGTGTGAAATACGGCTCCGAAAAAATTTCTTCGTTGAAAAGTTGGGAGTGCTATACGAGTTTTTTGTAGCATATTTTTAGATCTAAGTTTGAGGTATTTAGTATGCATTTTTAAATAACACAATTCATTTTATTGCACATAGAGCGCGAGAGGGCCTTAAAATTATAAATGCCATACCTTACGACACTTTCACTACTGTACTAAATTTTGTACATCGGCAAATGACTCCCGCCGTCACCGAAGATGTGATAGAGCCCGAAAATGCCTTGGAGGAATTAGAACGCTTGGTTGGTGTGCCACGTGCTGATTTTCTACTTATGATTAAAACATTTTCCTACATTCTTCGACGCACTTCCACATTTGTTATAAAACCAACTCGTTTGCATGCAGAATTACGAGAAAAGCTCGAACTTCAGGATGATGCGAAAATCGATGCGATAGTACGACTGTGGGTGCGCCAAACTACGCCCATCATGAATAGTTTGGCTTGTGAACGATACGAATCAAATGAAATCCAAGACGTGGCATGGAAGTTAAATGTTGAGATTTCTTCGCATTGTGAGCAACGTGAAAAAAGTGCCTTGGCAATGTTGCAGCTAAAAACTGGTACTGGCGAAGATATTAATTTAGAGATGAACCACGACGAATTACTACAATTATATAACCAATTTGAATGCATTCAAAGCGAGTTAGATTCTCTAAAACAGCAGCAAGCGCATCAGAAAGCACTGACGGAGTAAATTCAGATCTGACGTCTGCCCGGCTATTTTAAAGCAAAAAGACGGAGTAAGTAACTTAAATTCATGTCTGGGAAAGAAATGAACGGATGCTGTGAGACACTAGAATACGATATATATTTAAAATACTATAGAGTTAAAACATTTATTTAGATCTAAATATTAATTAATTTTTTTAAATGGTTATCAAATTCAATGCAAAGTAGTTTACCGATTCATGTAATAAATAGCGGAACTCGCTCTTATGTGTATTCGTTGTATGTTTTGTAATCGTAACTGCATGAGCGCGTGATTTGTTGTTGCTAGCGGTACATCAAATACACATGCAACTACAACCACACGCTCGTCCAGTTACAGGCTGACTTCCAAAACGTAGCAATACAATTGTTGGATACTGTTATATTGCAGTACTCAATCTGTTTGTATATCAGAGTTGCGACACATTGCATCCATATATGTACATTGCATATTTTAAATATTCAATATAGCAATTAATAATTTTTCTGAATTTTCCATTTCTAAAACACCAATGGTAACCAATAACAAACGAAGCATAACCTTTGTTTCTGATGCGCTGATTGCTCCAGCGATGCATTTCGATAACTTTTCAGATGCGTTTTGGAAAAGCATACATCGCCAATATTTTGTATTTCGGCGTTATGGAACATTATACTTTGAACGTATGCAAAGCAATTGACGTTTTGGAAGTCAGCACACTTACGCAGTATACAACGAATACACAGAAGCGCGAATACCACTATTGAAATTTGATTAACATACTCACATTCGTAAAACTTTCTTTAAAACGTGTAAACGTTTATGAAAAAATCATGTACATATACGTTCGTTTAGTTCATGATTCAATAATAAATTATTATTATTGAATCATGAGTTTAGTTTGGTTTGTTGCGATTGACAGTTATCCCCAGTTTCCCCAATCGATTTTAAAATTTAATTGACTGTTAAAATTAATTGGTGCAACCGGGCATAAGACCGTCGAATTTTCGAAAATTACTATGCAATCTTGATATAGATTGCAACCAAAACAACATAACACCCATTGAATTTCCTCCCAAAGCATTTAGCTCTAGACTTTTTTTTAAGAAACAAGCTTAGTTGAAAACCCTCTCCAAGAAGCGACACAGGGCTATCTTTTCCCTTTTTCCCTTTTTCGATTTTATTAAATCTAACTTGACATTTTCAATTCCGCAGATGATACAACTGCATTATCTAAAAAATTTTCTGTTGCATTTAGTTTTCTGTCTCAAGAATTAACATTATACATTGCATTGACTATGTGTAAGTTCTATGGTATAGTTATCTCTGGGTATCGCGATATTATGTAGTTGTGTGTAAGAAAATTTTCCTTGTCTCTACGTTTGAACTCTGCTTCTATTTGTACGGAATATGGAAATTCTGGTAGGTACTAGTGGTTGCATAAAACATTGTTTTACGCCTTTCGATTAAACTTAAACTTGAATACTTTTGGAAAGCCGATTTTCTATAGGAGTTAGGTCGATGTTTCCTGAGCTGACCAATGACTATATACAACCCCTGCTTTAGTTTCTGGGCATATTTAAAGAAAAAAATAAATAACCTTCGTCCTTTTATGAAGTCGTGTCAATAATAGTGACGGAGTAAGTTGTCTTTTGCTTGGTTTTAAATAACAAGCCGTTAATACATTTTCACAATGTTGACTAGCGTGGCAGTATAGACAATACAGTATTTGACCGGCAATGTCCCCGAGTTGACAAGTTTGGAGCAAAGGCCGGTTTCGTATTGAATAAGACGATTTTCCGAATATTGATTTATTTCTTAACGAGTCGCTACAACCGTGATTCGGATTTGTTCAGTATTGTAAATATTGTAAGGAGTTTAGTATTGTCTTAGCTCTACAGCCGCATTTAGGTGAGCATTAAAATGCCCCACAATGATTCCAAAAGTAAAACGCAAGTAAAAACGTTGAGTCTTGAAAGTGGGAATGTTTTATTCGGCTCATCGCCGTTCTTTTATATGCTTACAATCTACCTTATGAGTAATCTAACTTACAAACTTACATTTCTAAGTTGTTAGTCATGCATAAATGTATATGGGTTCAATCGAGTTTATGTTATTGGAGAAGTGCAGCGCAAGCTAAATTGATTTGAGTACTTTGGCCTAGTTATTGCCAAAAGTATATTGTACTTTTTACTTAATATTGTGTGAACATTTTGTTTTGCTTAGCTGTCATGCTACAGTATAGATTTGGT